GCCCTTCATGTTGTATGCTTGCACTTGTACATAGTAATAAGTTCCCTGGAACAACAGGAAATAAGACAGTTAAGTTATTATTTTGTGGTGATTGCAGTTACTTTTTAAGTTATTTTTAGGATACTTTCAGCTTTTTACCTATCCAGAAAAATTCTTTCAGTATTAGGCATTCACACTGCATTTGATACTATTTTTTCAACATTAAGATTGGATCGAGGGGAACAAAGCTGTCCAAGTGGAATGGTTGCTGCAGGGCATGTCAGTGGTTCTTGGGGGAGCTGGAACCTGCTGTGTCTTGCACTACTTTCCACTGAAGACGTGGAAGATTTGTATATTTTTGGATTTATGATAACTGGATTTCTGCTGATCGGAGGAGGCGAAGTCCTGATCTATCGAAAAGTTAAAGCGACCTTAACAGCGGTCCAGGCCATTGAAGAGCTGTTGGGCACGTTAAAAGGCTTGTGCCGGGCCGGAAGCAGACAGGCTCAACAGCTGGGGGAGATAAGCCGCAAAGTGGATGTGGTTCTGACGAGGATTGCAGCTCAGGAGCAGGCCTCTGGCATGTAGGATTACATCTGGGTGAAGAGGCAAGAGACCCCGAAATTCGGCTGATTGAAGTTTTTTCGCAACTTTCAGAGATGCAGTTAAGACATTAAAAACAGCAGAAAACTTCAAGGCTGTTTTGTCCCAAAACAATTGTGTTTATTCATTCGGTTCCCAGCAGCTTTGGCCTTGATTGCCATGCTTATCTGAAACTCCCCAGGATGGGATGTCAACAAAGGCCCGATTCCCTCCCACCCCCATCACCCCATCCGTGTTGATGCTGGCCATGAACCCAAGGCCTAGGAGAGGGAACTCTGACTCTGGCGAGCCGAGCTAAATGACATCATGTGACTCTAGACTCTGGGGGGCTATGGTCGGTTCTAGTACGGAGGCCCCTCATCCCTCACCGTCACCGACTCAACTGATACCCGCCCCATCTCCTGTGTTCTGACCTAAGCTCCCTCCCTGCCCAGCTGTCTGCTTCTGTCGTGAGTGGTTTTTGTGCATATGATTTTATGTTTCTGATGTAAATGTAAGATCAGAGCAATTTTTTAACTCATCTCTCCTATTCTGTATTTCTAAACTGCAAAAAGGTAGCGTGACTCTGTTGCGAATGACCTGTTTACCTTGTTCCCCCATGTTTGTCATGTATGTCCTTCTTGAACGGGTGTTCTAAACTGCAAAATTTCATTGTAATGCAAATTATAATGACAATAAAGGCAATTCTATTCTATTTTTGCAGGAAATGCAAATTCTCTAGGTATTATTTACTCAATACGTCACATATCATACATCCCTGTCACACGCACACAGTAATACAGTGTCACAAAATTCTTTAGAAGTCATACCATGGTACAAAAATTATCAACACTGCCCAACTCAACAAATAGGTGGAGTTTGGCCCAACTGCAACAAGTACTTCTAAATTTTCTGTTCTGTTTTAGGCAACAGAAACGTTGGCTTTCTTGGTGATTTTGGCCTTTTTCAGGTTAAAAAGGGCAAAAGGTGTGTATTTAAAATGTTTCATAGGTGGATTTAAAGGCAGAAATCCTACAGGAAAAGTTAGAAAAATCCTTCCTTCAATATTATGCAAGTCAGTATGAACAAATGTTCAGCAGCTACTTCAATATTTCTGTGAAACTCTGGATGTGCTAAGCAAAAATATTTAATCTGCTTTGGTAGAAAAGCAGATTACAGCAAATGACGGGCTGTCAGGTCTTGTACGACCGGTGTCAGAGTCTGGTCCGCATTGCCGGCAGTAAGTCGGGCTCGTTTCCGGTGAGAGTTGGACTCCGCCAAGGCTGCCCTTTGTCACCGATTCTGTTCATWACTTTCATGGACAGAATTTCTAGGCGCAGCCGAGGTGTTGAGGGGATCTGTTTTGGTGGCCTTAGGATCGCATCTCTGCTTTTTGCGGATGATGTAGTCCTGTTGGCTTCATCGGAACGAGATCTGCAGCTCTCGCTGGAGCGGTTCGCGGCCGAGTGCGAAGTGGCCGGGATGAGGCTCAGTGCCTCCAAATCCGAGGCCATGGTCTTGAGCCGGAAAAGGGCAGAGTGCCTTCTCCGGGTCAGGGGGGTCGCCCTGTCTCAAGTGGAGGAGTTTAAGTATCTGGGGATCTTGTTCACGAATGGGGGAAGAACGGAGCGGGAGATCGACAGGCGGATTGGCGCAGCGTCTGCTGTAAAGCGGGCGCTGTACCGGTCCGTCGTGAGAGAGCTGAGTCGAAAAGCGAAGCTCTCGATTTACCGGTCGATAACGTTCCTACCCTCATCTATGGTCATGAGCTTTGGGTCATGACCGAAAGAACGAGGTCCCGGATACAAGCGGCCAAAATGGGTTTCCTCCGCAGGGTGGCTGGGCTCTCCCTTAGAGATAGGGTGAGAAGCTCGGTCATCCGGGAGGGACTCAGAGTAGAGCCGCTGCTCCTCCACGTCGAGAGGAGCCAGTTGAGGTGGCTTGGGCATCTGGTAAGGATGCCTCCTGGACGCCTCCCTGGTGAGGTGTTCCGGGCACGTCCCACCGGGAGGAGGGACGAAAATGGATGGATGGATGGTAGAAAAGAAGAAAGGGAACATCCTTGCAACTCTCTGCTTCAGTAATAAATACAGTATGTTGATAAAATATGGTATTTAATCAGTGCATTGATGTTTACTTGATGAAGTTTGACCTCTTTGTTGGAACAACACAAACTGGTTATGAAGTGTTTTAAGTTCATTTCAAACCTTCATAGTTTTCAATTATATTTTTAAATCCAAAACACAGAATCTGTGTAACAGGTTCGGACTGATCAAATGATTCAGTACAATATTCTGAATACAGAGGCTCACCTGTACTGCAAATCCTCCCTGTAACTTGACAATGTCATTGAAATATTTAAGAATAGTCTTGTACTGCTCGTCACTGTACTCATACCGACTCCCAAACACCAAACAGCAGATGATGTTGGACACAGCGTTGTGTATCAGTGATTGGGCATTAAAAGGCTTGCCTGTCAAGTAAAATAGAAAACAGATTTTAAAAAATGAACCATTCTGAGTCAAAACATATAGAATCTCGAATGAACAATTAAAACATAAGAAAATGTTTAAACCTTCTTGTACCTTGCTGTTCAGCAAAAGCCTCTGTGAGATACTGACACTCCTGCTGGATGTAAAGTGCCAGGTTTTTCTTGCCCAGACCAAAGTTTCTCAGCGTGTGAAGAGCAAATCTCCTCTGATTCTTCCACAGATCACCACTTGACAGCACGAGACCTTGTAAAGAAAAAAACATTTAAGGTAGAATTTATCGCAACCAAAACTGACTTTTTGAAACAACACATTAACAAGTACCTTTATTCCTGAAAAACTCTGAGAACAGTGGAATGATGGGACGATCTACGAAGTCCTCTCCCTGTTCGACCAGGGCCTCCCTCACATTTTTGTAACCATTTATGACCACAGCTCTTTCACCAAAGAGATGAAGGCTGAAAATGTCTCCATATTTCTCTGCAAACTGAACACAGAGGATGGAGAATTATTTTACTTCAGAGGTTGGAATATCTGCCATAAAATGACTAATAATGCCAGCAGAAATTAACTTCTACAAAGATTTTCTATGTCCACCTAGAAGTAGTAAAAATACATTGATTATTATCAATATGTATCAGATTAATTTTACAAAAATATGGTGTCACAGGGGCTTTAAAGCAGAGTGGACCAAGAACTGCTCTGTGTGCATCAGGTTCTGAGGTCTCCTGGGGTATTACAGGATTTTAAATGTTCCCAGGCTCATAGTCATATTTACAGCTGCAGATACCAGAAAAAACAGCTGCATCCAGAAATGTGCTGTGTTTATACAGACCTTACATAATGAAGACTTTTTTGTTTAACAGACTTGACACTGTTAAAAAATGAACTGACTTATTTCTAAACATGTACTGCTGCTGCACAAAGTACCCCCCCCCCACACACACACACACACACTCATACAGAACCACAGTCATACACATATATTGTTTCTTCTCCTTCTTGTTACTACCTACACAGGGACTTTGCATTGAGTTCCATTATTTTACTTAATTTATTTCTATAATCTAACCCCAAGCCTTACCCTAAACCTACCCACCTGAAGTCAATAGAAATGGGCAGACCCCACTATCCCCAGAAGAACATCTGTGTTGAGTTATTGCACACTAAGTTATTGCTTTGTAGAGACTGAGCCTGTCCATTTGATTATTCTCTGTTCCCAGCATTTGAATTCTAAATCCTTAGTAGTTCAGGGGATAGTGGTGAAACTTATATTTCTCATTTACTGTATGTTTGTGATTTGTGTTTTTATTTTTCTTTTGGTTGGAGACAAAATGATCTAAAGATAGTGTCCCTTCCTGTCTTTGTCTGAGCTATGAAGCTGAAGACATTGGTTGAGCAGCAAAAGTGAATACTGCAATAGTAAACACTGTCCTGTGAGATTTCCTAAATGTGTTTACATTTGTTTACCATGATAACATACTCATTTTATGAAGACCTGGAACAGCACAAGACCAAGGTTTGACAGATATCACAAAGCTTTTGGAGAGAAAAGATCTAAGCAGTAGGTGACTGACCTACACCAACCTAAAGGAACTTGACAACTTGTAGGTCCATGATCAAACTTACCTCCATCCATTAGTCATTAAATTTTATGCCAAACAGGTTTTCAAGAGATTTAAGGAACATTTCACCTCATCCTTGTTCATCCAGACCTCACCAAGCATTCTGTAGTTGAGGCAGATGCCTCAGACACCGAGGTGGGTGCTGTATTGTCCCAGCGAGCTGCACCCATGTGCCTTCTCTGACAAACTCTCCAGCAGAGAAGAACTATGATTGTTATTGTGAGCTACTGGCCATTAACCAACCCTAATGAAGACATTAGCTTAAGGCTGCTATGTTACTGTTTATTGTGTGGACAGACCACAAAAATCTGGGCCACTTACAGGCTGCTAAGCACCTCAATCCTTGACATGCTCAATTGTCCCTGTTGTTCAGATTTCAGTTTTCCATCACCTATCCAAGGTCCAGGAACATAAAACCAGGTACTCCCTCCCAGCAGTTTATGGACACAGAAGAGCATGAGTTCCATACAAGATTTCAACTTTGAGAAACTGGAACTGGTTTAAATGTTTACAGTGGTTTGCAAAAGTATTCATACCCCTTGAACTTTTCCATATTTTGTCACATTACAACCACAAACATAAATATATTTCACTGGAAT